TTATATGTACAGCTTACAAATGTTTAATAAAGCATATGTAACTAGCCTGACAGAGGGCAAAAAAAAAAAAAAAAAAAAAAAGTATATAAATCTTAAAATGGTCTCTAGAATAAACTGGGGAATCCAATCTGGATAGCTTAAACCAGTCGGTAGACACTTATCTCGATACTTGTTTAGGTTAGCGTTTTATAAAACAGTATAATTTTAATTAAGTTGACTACCTATTCTCAACCCAATAAAAATGCATGTCAAAAACTAGTGTATGCTAAATATTATTATTTAAAAAGCTTTTAGGAAACAGTAAATATTGAATTAAACAGATTGATGAAGATATAAAAAAGGTTGAGCAATTATTTAAATCCTTGTATGCAATAAATGAGTGATACATACAAAATGAGATAGATAATGTCAAATGAGAAAAGTTTAGCAAGATGTTTCGTGCATATATTGCTATATGATATATAATTTAACATAGATCTATCTTTTCGGATTTCATTATTGAAATGAAGTTCCTATTGCAAGTTCAAGTGCCATTTTCATTGAGTATTTTTTTGAGGGGTATCGCTATCAAAGATGCCTATTTCTAAAAATTCAAGGTTATCTAAATTATACATATTACGTAAAACGGATATATACATGTCAATTTCAAATAATCTTATTCATTCTAAACTACTCTTCCATAATGGATCGTTTAAATAATGAACATTCTCAACGCCTATGTCTCTATTAATTTCTTTACTAAATTATTTAAGATTAAATTAAGCAAAGAATTTGGTAAATGACATGCAAAATATTTAGTATCTGTTATTAAAGTGCCATGGAAAGCAAACTCACATTTCTTTGGTCGACATTTTTGTTAATCCTATCGCAAGGGCGTGCTCCTTCCCTTCAGAAAAAACACCAACAATGGTATTTGCTGGAAACTCTTCATCTATTCTTGCACCTTTACTTGTTAGTCCGGGGCACATGATGTTTGCTCCAGACAGAATAAATTTTATTGCACCTCTATCCACTTGTAATCTGGGGAACGCGTCTGGGTCTAATTTAAAAGAAATGAGTGAATTAGGTGTATGTAAAGTTGATTCGCAACAGAATTAAAAAATCGTTTACATTTGTGAAGTAATTTTAATGTTGGATAGTACGGTCCATCAAAATGTTGAAAGAACAATATCTCGTTATTTATTGTTAATAGGTTAATATGATCATGGCTATGGACAATAGAACATCAGTCTCACGAGTCGACTATAAAAAACATTGGTAACGGTGCTTACCATTTCACTAGGAACAAAGCGGATTTTTTTGGTAACACTTCATCAATAACTGATTCCAAATTTTTATACTGTTCGAGGATCTTGGCACGAATATTTCGTTGCACAGAGGTCTTTACTTGTGATTGGGAAGTTACGCTTTCTTTTATGTTAAATCTATTTAAGTGAGCATATAAAAAGAGTAATCAGAAACGACAATACGCGGAAACAGAAGTACAATAAGGAACGTTTAATTGAAAATTACTTCTTGAACATTGTTAGACTCGAAAGTTGAAGTTAAACGTATTGATCCTCACTTTTTTTTTTTTTTTTTTTTTGAACAAATCACGATCACGTGTCAAGAGTTCAACAGGATGTTGTCGACTAAATCGACTTAAATCGACGTTCGTGGTATAAAGCTTTTTGTTTCTCTGTCAAAACGTGAAAACATGGTTATGTAAGCTACCTTTCGATGAACACTGATTTCTGGTGGCGTTTTCTTTTTTAAAATGGATTACCTCTTTTCGCTAGAACGAGAAAAACCCAAAAGAAGACTTCTACCAGGAGTGCAACAAGAGCCGCAAAGGTGCGATCGAAACTTTGTCCATATGATAACGATAAATCGCGTTCTAATGCTTGCTTTGACCTTTTTCGATTTCGATGTTTAGCAAGAGAAATCTGTCGTTGAGACCGCCGTAAAAAACGAATCAGTCGAAGCGACTTCCTTACTAAAAGTAGAACCTGATGGCGACGTTGTTATGACACCTCAGGTAGAGTCTGGGATAGGTGCAATGGCCGAGGACGAAGTCACTCCCGAAGTTACAGACATGGTTCCTACTCCATATGAAACGAATATAGAATCATCACCGCCCATAAATAATTTCCCGATTCCTCTAAACCTTAATTCGGTTGCTAAAAACTTTAAAAATCCGCATTACAGGCCGTCGAGAAAGTACAAAAATGTCAAACAAATGTTGGTTGCTGAAAGGAAGGAGAATATGCCACTGGACATACCAACTTGCAAATATCCCAATTTTATGATTCATTCTCTCACTCCCAGAGTAAAGTTTTAACTGAAGTTTTTGTCCAATTGAGTAGATTCGAATATCGAAGCTCCACCTTCGATCATTCCTCAAAAGAAGTATTGTGATATCACAGGATTAGAGGTAAACGGAATCTCCGGTTTCATTTTATTTTTTTTTATTCTATTATTTTTTTATCGCCACTTTTAACCCCAGGTTATGATAAAATCAGGCAAAGTATACAGATCCAAAGACTCGACTAAGGTATCACTCCGCTGAAATATACAAAGAAATCAAACAACTAGCTCCGGGTGTTGTTCAAGATTATCTTGGGTTGAGACATGCTGCGGTTATATTAAGATAGTGCCCGAGTAAAACAGAATGCACAATGTATTACAATTCCTAGAATTATATTCCAAACTTTTGACAAGCGATAATATAGAAATCCCGTGAATCAATCTATTTTATATAATTATATAATCTATTTTACAATGCATATGTGTTCTATTACGTTTACTCTTTATACAAAGTATTGGCTATGATAGTTCACACTTCCCGAGATCTCCGTTGGCACCATGCTCCCCGTTGTTATCACCGTCATTATTATTATTATCGCCCCCACCATTTAAATCACCCAAGACGTCTTCACTAATAGTATCCCTTTGTAAATTCAGCAAGAATCTGAACAATCCAGCAGCTTCCCTGTTCTGTGAAAATTGAAGACAAAATGCCTGTATCTCAATAAAGAATCTGTTTACGTCTATTATATTTTTGTTTATCAATGATTGAAGAAAGACGCAAATCTAAATTCCCAAACCGGTTAGCATATATTTAGCGTGGCGTCACATTATTATCGGTGAACAAATTTAAGGAACGTAACTTACAAGGCGAACTTGTCGACTCTGTATATTCCTGTTCTTACACTTCTCACAAGCGCGCACGCAATTGGACAGATAGGAATGCAAAAAGTCTGGAGAGAGTGGGAATGGAGTGATCAATTGATTAACAACCTCCATAGAAGATCTCATGCGGTTCACCGGTTCTGTTGATGATTGCTGTGACCGTTCCGGATCGTTGATAGTCAAGAGTGTTTCTAAATATCTGACATTGTACGACAATCAATGTTACATTCTGTCAAAATGTGGGCGTCAATCGCGTAACACTTACTTGCCAATCTGTGGGGATGATTTGAGTTGTAGTAATGCTTCGATGGCAACCCTTGAATTGTTTTCAATCAGATAGGGAAGCTTTTCCGGCGAAAAAAATCCGCTTTGTTCCTAGTGAAATGGTAAGCACCGTTACCAATGTTTTTTATAGTCGACTCGTGAGACTGAT